AATCTTCTCTCGAAGAAAAACATGCTCGGCTGTGAAAACTATGTCTAGGCCAGTTGTAAATATAGGAAATTGCCCGAACGTAATTTAGCATAGACGTCCACTCAAATCTGTAAACATTCTGACTGGTAAAACTACATGTCTATATATATATTGTCCGAAAAAGGGCATTTTCCGGAAAGGGTTAGGCTAATAAATAAAATGTGCAACAATTTAGGTGTCTAAAAATGATCATTTCAGATTCCAGCCTCACGTTTCCTAAGTTAGGTTACATAGCGTAAAATCAGGTTTTCTCATCTACACAACTAATTCCTACCGCTGACACTTCGTGGAAACCTTTGAGAAAAACCAAGGCAACCCGCATAATGAGCAACAACACATTTATAGTTGATACTTACATGACATATTTGCAGTTTTTGAGGAGAAGTTTGGCCGAGAAAATATTATTATAGTTGAGAAGACCGTCTTAATGAAGCGGGAAATCTCAAAAAATTTTATAGTAAGTTAACTGTCAATACTTGCAAGTACGAATGGGCAGGCAACATGCGGGCCAATGACAGGGAAACAGTCACTCTATCATACGAATTTCCATCTTCCTATGGGTGCATCTCCTTGAAGGAGAAACGACTTTCAGTTCTTGAATCTAAACCTTGGACCGGACGCACGTGCACTAGGGGCCCCTAAGATAATTTCCCTGCACGAGTATGGACTCCCTTAAAGTCCGCTTTGAAGCATGAAGTGTATAGACCGAATAGTAAGGTCCAAATGAGATGTAGTATTCGTCGAGTTCATCGTAGAGGATTTCGCATGCCGACTGCCACTGGTTAGGAAAGGAGTACTGAGTGTGCTAGGGCTGCACCATCATTTTAGACGTCAGAGTATCAGTTTACACGCAGAGTTTGATGAAGTAGATGAAAAGCAAAAAGGGGATAGAAAAAAAAGAGGAGGCGCCCGTGGTCTCACCGTGGGTGCTGAAGCCTTTAGACTAAATTGAGACGTCTTCTCTGGGTTTCCGAGTCGCAGGTACCGGTTGCACGGTCGCGGTCGACAGATGCGTCTCTGTTCGGCAGTTCGAGCATCCTCCAGGAGAACGTCACTTCCCAGCCGGATGGCCGGTTCACAGTCCGAGCGCGGGTCCATGCACCAACGACTACGAACACGAAAACGTTTTTGGGAGGTCTCCTTACTCTGGTCTTCCTGGCAGCTGGGCCTACACATGGACCAAGAGGTCCACGGAGACCAGTTGTCTAAGGGGAGGGGACGATTGCATAGCCGCCCAGTCCAACCTCGGTGGCAGATGCACCTCGCAGTCACTACTCTGACGCCCGGCCCATAAGGCACAGCAACGGTGGACTGCAACAGTGGTCACATTAAAGTGAAGAGAAGATAAGTTTATCCACCATCTCAAGAAACTCAAAGAAGTTCAGCACGGGGTCAAACACCATATTATCACCACAGGGCCACCCGTGCACGCCCATCCGCCTAGACTTCATCCCTAAAAGCTCCGGATAACGGGAAACTAATTGGAACATAAGAAAAATCCGGGAATTATTCGCCATTCTAGTTTGTGGACGTCTCCGCTCAATATGGTACCCAAGAAATCGTCCGATGATTGGAGGGCATGCGGTGATTTTCGTGCCATCAACAGGGCCACAGTTCCATATCCGTATCTAATTCCCCTAAACCCATTTTCTCCAAGGCGAACCACACGAAAGGATATCCTCAGTTACCGGTCGCGGAAGAGGACATTCCCGAGACCGCCATTACGAAACATTCCGGTCTGTTCGAATTCCTCCACCTGCCTTTCGGTCTGCGTAACGCGGCCCAATCGTTTCAACTTTTCATCGATGAGGTCTTGCGGGACCTTCGGTTTACAATTTTTTACACTGTCGGCATACTCGTTGCTAGCTCCTCGTCAGAGGGGACGCGAATCGCACTTGCGCCAAGTATTCGACAATTTTCAGCAGCATTGTTTGCAACTACACGTCAGTAAATGTTTTTTGGCACCACTTCTCTTGATTTCCTTGGTCATCACATCTACCAACATGGGATCGACCCACTTCCAAAGAAAGTGCAAAGCGTCCTGTCTTTCCCTGCTCTAATGACACGAACGCAGCTGCGGCGTTTCATTGGCCTGGCAATTTACTACCAGGGATTCATTCCTAATTATGCAGCTACACTGACTCCCCGGCTGATCTTTTGAAATCAAAGACAAAGCCAATCGAAATGTCATCGGCAGCTCACGTAGCTCTTGAGGCAGCCAAGAAAACCTTCGGTGACACTACCATGCTTTACTATCTCAGTCTCGGCGCTAGTGCAAAGTTGATGTTGACGACCTGTGTTTCAAACTATGCTGTCAGCAGAGTCTTGTATCAACAGGTCCAGACCCTCTGCAGTACTTCCTCTCGTGAAATACTTGTCATCTACTCGGCCTATCTGTCATTTTCAACACCTTTTAGAGGACAGAGACTTTCGAGCGCACACCGACCGCAAACCTTTCCCTTACGCCCTCAAGGCCAAGCCAGACAGACACTCGCCCAGAGAAGTTCATTATCTCGACTATGCTTCCCAGTTTACTGCATCAGAAAGCGTAATTTATCGTTCTGCGCTTTCGGATTGGTTTTCGAGTTCAACCTCGGAGATAGGCTTGGAACAACAAAACGCTTCACTAGAGGACAGTGACCAGTCAGCACCACGCTTTGCCCCCTATGACAGGCTGCGTCGACCCCGGCCGTAGTCACCAGCCATGGAACTGGGCTGCGACGTTCGCCCTGGCTGTATAGGACCTGGTCAGACGGAGTGTGGGGTCAGACACGTTTGCTGACAAAACGATGGCCGGATCTGTACTCCCCGATCACTTCTTGCACCGCCTTGCCACTTGCTTTTCCTTTTATCCAAGTGGTAGCCAAACCAGAAGGGTGATTTCGTTCTAGCCTGTGAGAAGCCGCGACGCAAGGGGGTGTCCCATTTTGTGTGCTTTCACGCTCAAAGTGCTCGTTTTTTGGATTACCGCGTCCGTCCGAGAACAGACTTGAGAAGCAGTCCTGAGACCCAGACTCATTTCGGCATCTGGATTTTTCGCCCATTTTTAGTTTTGAATGTAATCTCCCTCTTACGATCCCGAGCATAAGCATTTTCGATGGAAGCGTTAAGAAAGTGCCTAACTATGCCGTCCCATGCTCAAGGCGAATACTGGCTCATAGTATACACACTGCAGCAAGGAAGATTGAGAGCGGAGAACGCGCCTGTCGCCAGAACGCCATTTGACAGCTCCAGTGCCACAAACGCCACCGTCCCAGAGAGGGTGCAGTGGTGATTTGCACATGAAGTTGTCCGAATGGTAGAGAATACGCGCGACTCAGGTAACTAAATAGAAGAAGACGGAATTCATTGAAAAACTGCAAGGCATTCGACTCACAGATGACAAAGTGATGATATCCTCCGAAGTGATATCACTTTTCACCTCCATGCCACAACACCTCGCTGTCGAAACCATGCAAACCGTGTTAAAAGAACATTATAACGAGACGGACCAAAAAACTTAAGATAAAACACCTTACTGATCCCCAGACACGCTGCTTGAAGACATTCTTTACCTTCAATGGAGCTGTATACGAATAAGTTAAAGGTAAGCCGTTATCCAACTTGATTGCTGAGTCAGCGTTACAGTGACTGGAGGCACTGGCCTTTGAGTACTATCGACCATGATTGTGGGTAGGGTATGTTTATGACACATTTTTCATCATCGATCGGGACAGGATTGGGGAATTCATGCAACATATGAACTCGATCTTCCCAGCCATCCAGTTTACGATGCAGGAGAAAAAAGACTGCCAGTTGCCGTTTATCGACGTATTAGTTCAGAGAAAGAGTGATGGGGGGCTGAAAACAACGGTTTACCGGAAAGCAGCGAATGCCTCCCATATTCTAAGTCCTCTTAGTAGCCACCCTCTTTCGCGCAAACGTAACTGCGTGAGAACACTCTACCGGTGGGAGGAAATCAATTGCACCGAACCAGCCGACAAGGAGGCCGAGGTTCAGTTGCTGTGGGAAGCTTCACCGTGAACGGCTACCCTGAGAATTTTGTTGAAAAGTGCAGGCAAGAAACCCAGGAAAGAAAACCGAAGGAGCAGCCGAAACCGAAGTGTTGGCGTTCAGTGCCGTACATAGATGGTAGAGTGTAGGGGTGTCCAGTCGTGGGTCAACGTGATGTCCTAGTAGGTCGTTCACTTGCTTGCAAGTGTTGGCTACGCTAAGCGTCCATTAACTGGCACCCAGCTCCCACATATGGCTCCCCGAAGCCAGGCTCCGCCTAGCGCCCACAGTCCGGCAACCGTCCCGACCGGCGGGTTAAACCCGGTGAGGGTATCCGTGGGTGTATCTGCCCACACGGTAACTCGGCTCCGCTCCCACCATCGATGGCCGGACGGATCACTGCCTCGGCTTCTATGAGATGAGGCCCCGTCTACAACTCCACAGGAGGCCACAAGCACTCAGCAAGATACTGACCCAGTGACTGGGAGACCGCCCGCTTACTGCTCTCTCGCACCTATTCTCCGCCCTTCTCCTCTGCCCCTCATTCTCTCAACCTTCTACTCTACACTTCCCTCTTGGCCCGCGGTCGAATATCCCACGGGTCAGCGCCTCGCCACCTGCAAGATGAAGCTTCGTCCGCAACCCCGCTGAAGGCCACAAGGTAAGTGACCCCCCAAGTAAGCCGAATACTGCTCTGTTGTCTTTGCTTTTTGCTTGCTCTTACTCGCTTGGCCTTGTCTGCTTGTCTGTGTTTGTCCTTGTTGTAAGCTAAATCCCTTGTCTTTGTCGGTACTAACATTCTGCCAAGTACCGTTCTGTAGAATTTGTCTGCTCACCGTTTATATTTCAACAACCAGTTAGCTTAGGGAGGGACAGAAAACTCTGCTTCCAGCCTCCCCCTCTTACTCACCGACGACAAAGCAGCCTTCTACCATAGTTGCCGCCTTTTGCAACAGCGGCTGAGAGAGATGCAGGAGCCCTGGATTGCTCTCAAGGACGAAGAGATCCAAAGGGTACGCGAACCGCAACGAATGAAAGAGCTTTTTGCCGTAATCAAGGCTGGCTACGGTCCCACAGCCAAAGGCACTGCTCCTCTTCTCAGCGCCAACGGAACCACCCTACTCACTATGGAAACGCAAATTCTGAAGCGATGGGACGAGCACTTTAGAGGCGTCCTCAACCGTCCGTCTACCATCTTTGACACCGCTATCGCCCGTCTGCCTCAAATGGAGACCAACGCCGACTTCGACCTCCCGTCCTCTCTCCACTAAACCAGTAGGGCCTTGCAACAGCTCTCCAGCGGGAAGGCGCCCGGATCGGACTCGATCGCTGCTGGGATCTGCAAACACGGTGGTTCCCAACTCATCGCTCATCTGACGGCGCTCTTCCAGGAGATGGGGCGTCAAGGAGAAGTCCCACAGGATTTCAAGGACGCCACAATCGTCCATCTTTTCAAGCGGAAGAGCAATCACCAGCTCTGCAACAACCACATAGGTGTCTCCTTGCTCATCATCGCCGGAAAGATCTTCGCTCGCATCCTTCTCAACCGTCTGAACAACCAGCTAGAACAGGGTCTCCGGCCGGAAGGGCGGCGCGACTGCTGCCGTCATCGCGGGATCACCGACATGATCTTCGCCGTCCGCCAACTACAGAAGAAGTGCCAGGAGATGCGAATGCACCTCCACTCCACTCTCGTGAATCTGACGAAAGCCTTCGGCACGATGAACCGCGAAGGACTGTGGAAAATCATGCAGAAATTCGGCTGTCCCAAGCGATTCATTCAGACGGTGCGTCAGCTCCACGATGACATAATTGCGCGCGTCACAGATAATGGAGCCGTCTCAGAGGAATTCGCAGTGACCAACGGAGTGAAGCGGGTCTGCGTCCTCGCGCCTACCCTCTTCAGTCTCATGTTCTCTGCCATGCTGATGGATGCCTATCGTGACGAACGCCCAGGGATCCGCGTCACCTATAGGACGGACGCCACCTCCTCAATCAGCAGCAGATAGACTTCCAGTTGCGTGTATCAGCAACTTCCGTCTATGAACTCCTCTTCGCCGACGACTGACCTCTCAGTGCAGCAACAGAAGGGGACATGCAAAGGAGCATGGGATCCTTCGTCGCCGCCTGTGACAACTTCGGCCTGGTCATCAACATGGAGAAGACGGTGGTTATTCATCAACCGCCACCCGACGCTATGTAGGTCGCACCACAAATCAACGTGAGCGGCACGCAACTGCAAGCCGTGGACAACTTCACCTTCCTGGGCAGCACCCTCTCCCGCAACACCAAAATCGATGGTGAAGTGACCCGTCATATTTCCAAAGCCAGCCGAACTTTCGGCCGTCTGCAAAGGTCAGTCTGGAATCACCGCGGTCTCCACCTCAACACCGAACTGAAGATGTACGAGGGGGTCATCCAGCCGACGGTGCAGTATGGAGCTGGGACCTACGGTGTACAATAAATAGGCGCGAAGACTCAATTATTTTCCCCTCAGCTATCTTCGACGGATATTAAAGTGGAGGAGGCAGAACCAGATCCCCGACACCGACGCACTGGAGCGGGCTGGAATCCTCAGCATGTACGCTTTGCTGGGACAACCGCAAGTGCGCTGGGACGGCCTCCTCGTGCGGATGGACGACGAGCGGTTACATAAACGGCTTTTCTGTGGAGATGTCGCCAAGGAGGTCAAGTCCGGCGCTACAAGGACACTCTGAAGGCTTCCTTGAAGCGCCTGCAAATCAACCGGCTGACTGAGAAAACCTCACCCGGAACCTATCGACCTGGCGGAGAGCAGTGAAGACCGGTGGGGCAATCTACGAAGCCACCCGCATCACCGCCGCCAAAGCCAAACGCGAGGCTTGCAAATCTCAACTGCGCCCACCTTTTAACACCAACGCCCAACCGCCCCCAGCCTGCCCAACACTGACTGCG